GGAAACAGAAGTGCTGAGGTACTGACAGGCTCACTCCTGTTCTGCCATCAGAATGGTTCCAAAGTATGTTTATCAATATGGTGACAGGTATTATATACATATATATATATATGTATCTATGTAAATAAGCTCTTTGCATGGATTGAGACAGGGAAATACATTTTTAGGGTTTGTTCTCTCTCTGCACAGATATATCAAGCTTCTAACTGGATTTATGGCTGTGCTGTGCCTTGTCACATAGCAGGTGTCCTCTTTTACACTATTTGTATTAACTGTCATTTTCAGAAATAAGTCGTGACTGCTGCACATCTAACATCTAATACTAATGTCTGCCCATGTGCAAAGAAGGTGGAAGAATTCAGGTTTTTTTGATTATATGTTTTTCAGTGGTGTCAATATCACTTTTTAAATGTTTATCATTATTTCCAGTTTAGGCTATTTAAGGATAAAAATTTAGCATCAGTAATCCTTGACAGTCCAGGTACCTACCTGTTTTACCAACATCTGTTATATGTAAATTTTTACAGTGTTAGCTGCAACAGTAAAAGAGAAGCCTGTGCAGTTTCTCTGCAGTTTAATATACTGTGCAAATTGCAATCTCGTGCTGTGCAAGATACCCCAAGGTGAACTAATTTCTCTCTGGTTTTCTCTATCTTGACTCTTTCTCTAACATGTGACTCTGTCTCCAGTATAGGAGATTACATGAAATAATAATAAACTTAAAATAATAAATATTACTGCATCCAGCTCTGGAGCCTGCAACACAAGAAGGACATGGACCTGTTGGAGTGGGTTCAGAGGAGGGTCATAAAAATAATCAGAGGGCTTGAAGCACTTCTCCTACAAGGACAGGATAAGAGAGTTGGAATTGTTCAGCCTGGAGAAGAGAAAGCTTCAGGGACACCTTACAGCAGCTTTACAGTACTTAAAGGAGACCTATGGGAAAGCTGGGGAGGAACTGTTTGCAAGGGTGTGTGGCAATAGGACAAGGGGCAACAGCTTTAAACTGGAGCAGGGTACATTTAGATTAGACATTAGGAAGAAGCTCTTTACTATGAGGGTAGTGAGGTACTGGAACAAGTGGTCCAGAGAAGCTGTGGATGCCTCGTTCCTGAAAGTGTTCAAGACCACATTAGACGGGGCTTTGAGCAACCTGGTCTAGTGGGAGGCGTCCCTGCCCATGGCACGGCGGTTGGAACTAGAGGACATTTAAGGTTCCTTCCAACCCAAACCATTCTATGGTTCTGATGTAAAATGCACTTGCATGCTAAAATACTAATTCCCCTTTTTTCTTTCCCAACCCTTTTCTGTGAACATGCATATCAAAGACTATGAAGATGAACCTCCAATAAGAGTCTTACATGACCTCCATTGTGAAATTAGGACTGTGAAGGTAATATCTTAACTTGCTTTCTTCTTGAAAGATTGTGGGTTTTCCATAAACTTTATCACTAAGCCACCATACAGCTTCATTAGTCAGCAGTTCTGACCCTTATGTTATTCATTTAGCTTTTAAGTCCTCATAATGTCTGTGGATGTCAGGGTAGTGCCCCAAAACTTCTGGGTGACTTAAAGTAGATTTTGCAGTATTTATTAGTTTGCAATCATTGTTGTCACTTGGATCAATGGGGACAAAGGTAACAGGGATGTTGTAGCTGTGCCAAGGTGTAGGTGTAGGGGAGAATGATTCAGGAGCAGCAGCAGCTGCCTAGAGAAGAGTTATAATTGTTTGTGTTCAATGACTGGCACTTACCATAAAGAAAACCTTCACAGAAGTTTCAGTACCTTCAGCTGTTGAGTTAAATTTGTGAAGAACATTCTTTATTTCTTTAACAGAAGTAGAAAAAATGGGCTATAGAAATGAGCAACTGTATAAGTAATTGGGAGGCAAGATGGGATACAAACCTGAGGTTTACTATCTGCTCCACACTAACTCTTTATATGTGGGGAGTAGTAGTCCAAGCTAATTGCTGCTGTCTCATATTTTTGTGTAGTAAAAGCATATATTTTTGTTTGAGAAGTTACCAGTAATAGTTATCATACAGTGAACAGTTATCTTAGTTTAACTTTTGTAAATTTTTGTACTCTCATGCCCTATATCTTCCTGATATTTTGTAACCTAGTTTTCAGGTATAGATAAGACCTAAATTTGCTGCTTATCCTTATCTGAATTGAAGTTCAGTACTTATTCTCAAAACACTTTTTGTATAAACAACTGCCATGTGGTGATTTGAAAACCAATGTTTCTGTGTTTTCCTCCTCACTTCCACCCCCAAAGGAAGATATTAATGCCAGTCTTGGTAAGAGTTGCTCTGAAAAACAAGAAATTAATGAGTTTATCAAGGCAAATGAAATATTGATGCAGAAAAATGCTGCGGATCTTGGAAAAATAAAAGAACTGTTCCAGAAGTATGGCTACAAACCACATGTCAAAGACTCTCCAGGTAATACTTCTTGGCAATACAGTATGTGAAGACAAATGTAACTTTCTAAAAATATTTCTCTTTAGCTATATTTCTATTAACAAAGAGATCGTAGATTTATAGGATTATAGAATGTGTTGGCCTGGAAGGGACACTTAATGTCATTTAGTCCAAACGTCCTTGCAGTAAGCAAGAACATGTTTAACTTGAACAGTTTGCTCAAAGCCCCATCTATGTTATTTGTTTTATAATAATATCCAGAGGACAAGAGATTCTGTTGTGTTTGGTGCCCTAAGAATAAACCAAAATACAAAACCTTAGTGATAGTAACTTAAATGTATGCCAGGCGATATATGTGGTATGGTTTTTTTTCTCCAGTAATGGTTATATTCAGCAGACATTTTAGCAAACGTGTTTGCATAACCCAGAGAATTACGTTGCTTCAGCTTCTCATGCATGGGAAACTATTGTAGATACATCTAAATTAATTTGTATTTGTATGTGGTGGTTCCATTAACTTAAATCACCTAATTAAAAATCCTAAAATAATGTGCTCCACAGCACAAACAGGACAAAGAAGCACATGTGGGGATTAGGTGACACATGGCAAGCAGTGGTAGCTTGATCTTTGGAGGGGAAGAGATCCTTAATCCAGTTAGAAAGTACATGTGCACCTGTGTGAAAAATCCAGGTATGCCAAATGAATTTATGGTACCGCAGCTGCTGGTTCTACACGTACCTCATTTGGTACCAAGGGCCCGATGAGTCGTCAAGAAGCCTTTGGCAGGATACACCTCAACCTGCCCCGAGCATTGTGCAGTCGGTACATAAACCAAAACTGTGGCCATGGACCATATCCACCTCCGAGTTAAGTTACCACAACTGGTTTACAAAGATATGGCAGAAGGCTCTTATTTTATAATATCTTCCTTCCTGTTATCTCTCTGCCTTTAGAGAAAACTCCAAAGCAAGCTACAAAGTTAACTTACTTGTTTAGATGTATTTTTAAGCTAAGTGTGTCTGAACACATACATAAAAAGGGGATGCCTCTGCAGTATGCCATATTACTTTAAATAGCTTTTTTCCCCTCCCTGCTTCTTAAATCACACAGAAATTCACAAATATTTTGGAGTGTTCCAGTTTAACTACAGAAATGTGCAAGTTACATGTTTGCTTATTTCTGCAGTGGATTCTTATTAGTTAAAAAGTTACCCTCTTTTTGTAAGTTTTCAGTTACTGTTTGATAACCTTTCTTCAGGACTGTTTTTCAGAAGAATAAGCATTCTAGTACTGTGTGCAGCCTTTGCCGTTTCCCAATAAACATTTTAAGTTTTATGCAAATTTTTTCATTGTCATTTATGTTGTACGTGTTTTATGAATTTCCACACTTGCACTGAAAAAAAAAAAAAAATCTGTTTAAGATTATCACTTCCTGCCTGCTCCATTCAGGGAGATGAATTCTGTTGAAAGATTTTTTTACTGAAGTATAATTTAATTTTTTTTTTTTTTTTTTGTAGAAATAATATTTACCAGCAAAGTCAAATTCAGTAAATATATGACCTGTATTATAAATATAGCTTAGCCTGGTATGGGCTTTTGATATCTCTTGTAGCTTCAGGTTCAGTGGTTTAAAATTAAAGAAGAAATCTCTTTTTCACAATAGATTTTGAAGGAGGGGAATATAAACTTCTGACTTTTTATTATTATTAACACTTTTCTCAAACAGAAGAGGAGGAAGAAGTTAACAGTGATTCAGTGGTGCCTGTCCAGAACAAGTGCGATGAAGAAAAAGCAGATGATGTACCTCATCCTCCTGCTTCTACTGAGAAGCCACCAGTGCCCAAAGACTCGCTGCATCACCCCCAGCTCTCCGATTTTGGCCTTTCACACTATGCTTTCTCCAGGCCTTGGAGTGCAGCGAAAGGACAACACGCAACAAATGCATATCAAGAAAATTCAAAGAACAGGACTCCACTAAAAACACAGATCCCCTCTTTTTTGCCCAAAACACCAAAGTGCAAGCTGAAGATGGATGATTATGAGTGCGTAACACCGAAACTTGAACACTTTGGCATTAGCGAACATACCATGTGTATGAATGAAGACTATACGATGTCACTTATGCGTAAAACGGCTCCGAAAAGCAAAAAGTGAGTAAATTACTGAAGTTCAGATTGTTTCTCAACTGAATTTTGTGTGGTTTCTTCTTGCTCTACTAATTTCTTGCTGCTATCATCCTTCTCTTCTAATGGATTATATGTTATTATCTGTCAGCTGGTTAGTCCTGTGTCTTTATTCAACTCTCTACATGTCTTTTCACTTACCCTTTGTGGTAAAAAATGCAGCTGTGAAACATGTCTCTGCTCTGCTCCTTCCTTGACTCTGCCACGATAAGTCGTTCAAACTCAGTTTGTTTGCAAAGGGAAAATGCATAGTGTGAACACACATCTGTAGTAGATACTGCATAGCTGATTTAAAGGTCTTAAAAACTTTAGGAATATAGACCTGGAAAAAACTTCTAAAGCATTCAGTAAAATGCCTCACGGTAGAAACAGTGTTGTTACGCAGCCCCACCTTACAAATAGCTCTCTTCAGTCTTCTCCTGAAAAGACATCTCCAGATTTCCACTGTTCTAATTAAAATTAAAGCAGCCAATTGGCAGCAGTGAGGTGTAGACCACCTTAGCTTAGAAGCATTTTTCTATACTTCTAAGGTAATGTAAAGGTGGTTAGATCATGGGTTTATTGTTAGTATTAGCAACACATTCAATTTTAAAAGCTTGCAGTATTTAAAAGAAACTGGCTTTTCTGCAGCTAAATGTTTGGTATTCAGAGAAATTATTAAAAAGCCCAAACAAGAACCATATTCAAAATAAGTTGTGGAAATAATCATTCAACATTTTAATAATTTATATTTTTTTATAATCCTGATTTTTGCAGTTTAAACACAGTGTGAAGTTCTTCAGAACATTCCATCTTAAGTGATGTTGTTCCTCTAAGACCTAGTTTACTGCAGTCTTCAAAATCTGAGTGGTTGAGATTTTGGGGCTGGTTTTTTTGGGTTGCTTTTTTTAAAATTTTAAGATTACTAGGAGGAAAAGTGAAAAGATAGATTTATTTTTATTTATTTCTTTTTTTAGTTTTGTCATCTCTCATTTTGATTAGTTACGTAAATACTATAATGTCTATAACGCTCTCCAGTATTTGAAGTGTAATAGCAGGAAAACTGTTACTGAATCCTTGAAAGGTAGTAATTCAAAAATTACTCCCTCTCTAATAACATTTTGAAAATAGTTTCAGCTTATTGCACAATTTAAGTCCTTTTTGTATTTTTTTGTGGTCTTATACTACCTTTCCTAATTAATGAAAACTGTTCAAAATGTGATCTTCAGCTTGAATTATGGTTTTAATTTATAAATTAATACATACACAATATATATTATATCTCTGTGGCTTCTACTGAAACAATTAGTCTGCTAGCAATATTTATATACAATACCAAGAAAAAAAGACACACTGGCAGCTTTCCATACCCCTAATGACAGCATTAATATTCTGTAATAAATTAGTTACAGCATGACTGCTCTTTAATGCATTGTCATTATTAATAACCAAAACAAAGGGACACACGCAAATTGTGATTCAAGTTAAAATTGCCTGTGAATTCAGAATTAGTGGCATGTGTGAGAGGTCAAGACCGTAAGTCATCAGAGTTAAAATGTTTCACTATCTTTAACCTTTTTAGTTTGTTTTACAACAGTTAGAGTTCACTTGCAGTTTGATCAGAAAGGCTGAAACAATTAAGCAGCTTGTTTCCTCCGGAGAGCACTGGCCTGCTTCTTGGTGAGAAGGCTCAGTGTGTTAACTGGGCAGGGCGCTGAGCCAGCAAGCAAACAAACAAAAGTAATAAAAGAAATACTTTTTTTTTTTCCACTGAGTAATAGGCAGAATTTCTTCCCTGAGGATCAGATAATCAAAAAACCTAGTACAAATGAGGTAGCTTTACACCTATAGTTCCCAGCACAAAGACAGGGAATATTTCTGACTCCTGGAGATGGTGCTGCCCTTTTGCATCCCTTGCTTGTGCCAGCTAGGTCTCCTACCTAGCTGAAATCTGCCTAGCAGCTGTGCGTTGTGTAAAAAACACTTGAAAAATTCATCTCAAAGTTCTTGAAAATCTTTAGAAGACTTCAGCTTCTCCAGCTTTGCTTTTCAGTTTTGAAGCA